ATTTAGTCCAAATTATTGTTTTTCAATATTTTAGTTGTACATAAATATAAATATAAATAAGTAAGAAAACAACTTCAGTAAAACTTAAGTGGAATCTTTTTTATTTTTGAAAAATTGTTTTTGTGTTCATTTAAACGTATATTAATGTTTCTTTCCGTTTGACCTATATAAGCAACATATATAAACTCCAGATTTTTCATTAACTATTATTGACTCCTATTTGATTAATGATACTCAATTCTTTATTGTAAATTTTGTCATTGGTATATTTAATATAAGCTAGTTTTACTAATAATATTTAAATTGTTTTCCCATTTATTTACTATGGATTTTTCATTAAGTAAGGGTCAAATCAATCAATTGTAAATTAATATTCATTCAATTAAATTTCATTATAAAAATAAAATGTTTTTTTTTTATTTATAAATCAGCGTGACTTTCAATATAAAATTTTGGAGATAAATTAAATTTAACTGTAGTAAAGTCGGAGACTACTCAGTTCAGGGTAATTCACCAAACTGTTTCAACTATTTTATTTGTTTAGATAGTTTTGAGTGACTAAAAAATTAATATTTTTTTGAAGTGCATAATTAAATTATTACAACATTGTGATTTTTGATTATCACTTTTTTGCATTTATATTTGAAAACTATGTTAGTGCGTTAAATATGTGATATACAATTGAGCGAAAAACTAATCGTAATTTTTTTTGCTCTTTTTACTCAAGTTGAATTCCTTTCTTAATCATTGCACGGTAATAAATTACAACTCCTTTCCTCCACCCTTTCTGAACAAGGAAGTCCGTAAGCTACGTTTCTTCTAATTATTACCCTGGTTCTTTGCTGTACAGCGGAAGAGCCACAACTTTGGGTACATGGTGACCAAGCGGACCATTTGGACATTTCACAAAGGTTTCTTTTTGCAAATTCTTGTTCTTTCGATGCTGCGTTCTCATTTTTGCTTCCTAAATTAATTGTATTTAACGATTTTTTGGAAATTTATTGATAACTGTATTTATACCTTTGTTACGTTTTTGTTTGTCATTTGAACATCTGATTCTACATTCTTTTGTCTTTACTAAATCACCGCATTGTTTTCCACCTTCTGAGGGATATTTCTAAAAATAATTATATTTTGATAACAGCGTGTCAAAATTAAGGGTTAATGAAATGATAGTTAACAATGAATCATACTCGCACTTTTATTATAAAATATTTAAAATTACCTTAATGTTTCTGAATTTCATTTTTATTCCTTCACCACATGAAGCATCAGTTCTGCATTCGGTCCATTTTGACCAAGGAGTGACCTCACAATCCTGAGGGACAGTATACGATTCCGAAGAAATGATAGGCGCTGAAAAAAGTTTTTTTTGCTTAAAACTTTAAGGTCAATATCTAGTGAATAAATTAATGTGGTACAAAAAATACAGTATAGTGTCAATGTTGATACCATAAATTGCAGCGTCATTTTGAAGCAGCATACCGTAGGACAAAACGCTTGATACACTTGCTCCAAGTTGCAATTTTTTATTTGTTCTGTTATAAACCAGTTCCTCTTAAAAAAGCAGCGTGCGTTAAAAAAAAGACACAAGTTTAGTACAAAATTAGCGATTGTCTGTTGTTTAAAAAATTTACTTTGATAATCTCCGCAAACTTTTTCGCATTCTTGCTGAGAAACAAAATTGTTTTCGTTTCCTTGGCATCCGCTATATCGGAAGATTTCGCATTTTTCTGTTATCGAATCGAAGTACCATCTAGCAGTGTTACTTTTGCAAGGGCCTTCGTCTTTGGGCATGTTGCAAATAAACCCTTTATTTTATAAAAGTAAATAATTGAAAAAGGCTCGTACATTTGGAATAACAATTTACATACTTACCAATTGTTACTGAAATTTTAAACAATATTTTTAAAAACTAACTTTTAATTGATAGGAACGTTTTTAATTTTACCAAGCAGTTGTAATAAACTGGACGGTAATCTAAAAGTCATAGAAACCTACAGGCTTGCGGATAAAGTTATGATAAATCTTGGGAAAAGAAATTTTTAAGATATTACGTTTTAATTTAATTTGTAGATTGTAGTACTGTTTTTTGTGAATATTTAATAGATCAAGTTTTACTATGGTCTCATCTTTGCTAAATAATTTTCCAGAGAACAACCGATTTATATTCAAAAACATGTAAAAAGTTTAGACTTACTTGGTTCTTGAGAAGTTGTTTCACAAATTGGTCTTTCTTCATGGATACATTCTACGGTTTCCACTTTTTTGATATTAGCACATTCGTCTTCTGTCTCACTTCCTTCTTCATCCCTTTCCAAGCTATTGATTGGATTCATTCTGTTCATCGAACTTGAATCGAAAATTCGGTGTCGTACTTTCAATCCTTTTCCGCAAAATGTTAAGCAAGGCGACCAATAGCTCCAGGGTATTCGTGGACAATCATCGTAATTCTACAAACGATGATATTACGTAAATTACCAGTTTTGTTTTGCCACATTTACCGGCAATTCTGTTGGACAGTCGCTTCCGTCGCCTTGGCAAGCCATGTTTTGTTCCAAAACTGGAGGAGATTCCTGACTGGCTGCACAACGTTTAGCGGCAATTCGATTTTTGTATCTTCTGCTTCTAGTTTTTGTCCCAGTGCCACACGTTTCGCTACAACTCGACCAATTTCCCCATTCGGTTAATTCGCAAAGTGGGTCCACCGATGTTTCTTCTCTTAACGTGGACGAAAATGATTCCCTAAAGTAAACACAGATGGGCATTTTCCTGGTAATGTACTTGACAATTATTATACCTGCAATTTTCTTCCATTCCCCAACAAACTCGTCTCATAGTCAAATCCGCAGTACATTCTTCGGGATTGTTACTCAAAAGGGACCTTTGTTTATATTGGACACCTTTTCCACATGTGACTGAGCACGAGCTCCATTCTCCCCACGGTCCTAGTTCACAATTCGGCTTTGAGGATTCTACATTTTCGTCAAAATCGCAGTTCTTTTCGTACAATCGCTGCCTCGATAAGTAAATTCTTGCAAATGGTTTTATTGGTTCCCCAGATTCATCATAAAACGGGGATTCCCGGAAATTAGGGCTGTTGGACTTCAGCTGGCGAATAGGTAAAGGAGGATTGGACGGACTGTCGCGATCCTAAATGTTCAGGTCATTTATGTTGGTCAATCTGTATTGAGAAGTACGCACCATATATGTTACTCCATCATCAATACCAGCATCAACGGGATACAAATTTAGCACTTTAGATTCTATCCATGAACAATTTCTTAAACAAAGTTCCAAATTCGAGACACCAACAAACCAGTCGGGAGACGGGAATATCATTGACACCAACGAGATAAGATGATGTATGTTGTCCACTCGAAAAACAGCAAATGTTTTTCCAGTAATGTTTGGATAACTGATTCCTCTTGCTTTTATTATCGTCCGAATGTGTCTGCTCTGAAATTTAATTGTTATAAAATAATGGGGACGATTCAAATAAATTCATGTACTTAATTTACATTGTCTTTTAATTCTTTTTCGAGTTCGCGTGTGTTACCATTTTCCGCGAGTTGTCTTAATCCGTCATTTGCAAGCTCGCCGTAATTCCAAAAAGAATAATCCACACTGTGAGATGCACCTATCACGTCGCTGAATTTAGTACTCCATTTATCTTCCGGGAAATCTTTGGGGTGGGTGTTTCTTGACCATAAACCTTCAAACGTCACCTGCAGAGAATCAAAGCTTTGTTGGAACATATTTCTTGTTGAAACGAAGATAATTTATGTATCAGCAAGTCCAGAACAACAGCACATATTAAAAGTTACGATTGTAATTTAGAAATATCTTTAAAACAAATAAAAAAACGTCCAGGAGCAGACAGTAAACTGGCATTTTCAGTATTCTGTAGCCAAAAATGGAACTCATTATGTCTATTCTTCTGTCGGAGTTTCAAAGTTTTTACAGATGCTAGATAGTTCTTACAAAATAAGTTCCTAAATATTTCATGAATACTTTTCATTTAGAAGCCCCATTTCCCCATTTCTAAAATATTTAGTTTCAAATTTATTTGTAGCGTATCCTCCCTGCTACTTTCAAACAAAACGTTTTGACGAATTCTACCAACTACAGTTACTATTGCCGAACCCTGTTATGACCACTTATAAATTTTTTTTTCTCCCTTTTACCTCATATTTAGCTTCTGGACACGCACAACATCGCTCGAGAATTGAGGGTAAAGATTCCCCATCATCGGTGGCTTCACATATTTTTATAGTTAAAGGTCCTTCTTCACTGTACCATACCCTCGGAGATTCAACAACTGTTGCCTTAAAATAAACGCATCCACTTTGTGGTTCAGGCGCTATCCAGTACACCTTGGATAATAATAACAATTATTATTTTATTATGTCATTATCCACTCATACATTCGATGCATTTTTTTATACCTTCACTTCCGTTTTCGGCAAATCATTTGTTTGCATGATAGCGTTGGGACATTTGTCGCTGAATTTTAACAGTACGTCATCTCCAAGATCCAATTTTCCCACCGAGGAAGATGTTGCATCTGGGAATGTCACTTCCCCATTTTCATTTTCCACTGTTAGGAGGAATTCGGTAAACGGCTGTGCTTGAGCCACTAACTTTACTAAAACACAAACCAAAACGGTTGTGTTTTGAAGTGTTATTAATATTTTGTTAATATGTTTTCATTTTTAATGATTACGTATCTTCATTTTGAGATATTTCAGATTTCAAAAATTCAATTATCCGTGAAGAAAAATATAATAGTATTAAAATAACATTATTTGATTTGATTAAAAAATCTCTTCAATCAACTAAAATTTTAATCTAACGTAAATTAACACAATTTTCGAGTTGTAACGACCGTTTTTTATTCAGCGAATCCATTTATTGTATAATATCAAAGGACAATCAGTTGTTTTCGCCTTCGCTAATAGCTTTTTCTCGAGTTGTATATTTTGCAGCAAGTGATTAAATGAATCGAAGGGGAAACTCGTTAAGAATAAAATCGATAGCTTTGTTTGCTAGTCGAGCAGACTGTAATATATCCACGATTTAATCAAATCTAACCTGCAGTCGATAGGTATTTTTTTGAAATTGTTTGTTTGACTTCTAGCAAATTTAAAAAAAACAAGGCTCACAAAAAATTAATTTGTACCTCTTCTATTGGCTTAGATATTCTCTGTTAAGTTACCCCCAATATCAATAAAAATATTTCCGTATTCCCAATAAAAAATGTTTTAATTAAATAGGTTCAAATAGTACACGGAGAAAATGAAAATGAAAAATTTACTTAAATATTAAAGCGATATTTACAATTTATCCCACTATACCGTTGGACACGAATTTGTAAAAAGTAAAATCCCAGCAGAAATAAATTTACTAGGTATTTTAGTTGATATTGCAAATTTAATTGTAATAATTAAGAAACTTGAAATAATGTTTGAAAAAACATGTCAAAATTGAGATTATTACAAGTTACCTAATAAATTCTCCTATTTGCAACAAATTCAGTCACTTAAAATCGAAATTTGTAATTTTTGCGTTGTCATAATAATTTAGTTTTATTTTTGTACTACGAATAATCCTTAATTTCAATTATTGGTGATTTATATGATTCGAAAACTAATTCTAAATTCCTGCTATTTACAACACTTACCAGTATATCTTTCTTTAGGCATGTATCCTTCTGGATTTCCTAAAATTTCCAAATGAACTTTGTTATGGGGGTTGGACCAGAAGGGAACAACTCCCTCGGGTTTTTTGTTGCATTGGAGAGAATGAACTTGGATAAAAAACCATGTCAGTAATAGAGTGATCGAAATCCTGAAGATCATGCCACTATAATAATCCTGTTAAATAGACCAAAATTAATTCTAGAATTGTTTATATTATGTCTATTTTTTATTCAATAGTTACTATTAATTGCATTTTGTAAGTATCCTTTTAATCATAAACAACAACTTCTTGAAAATGGTAATGAACGAACTTGAATGTAATCATTAGCATTTTATGTTATCCCAGACAAGGTCTTTGTTATTAGCTGGACGTCGTATTATTCATGGAAGTGTGAAAACAATATTGATAATTTTTTATAAAAAATACATTGTTTGTTTACTTATCAGAAATATTATTTTTATAATAAGTATGATGAAAAATCAAATATGGGGGTCATATTTCAGTATCATATCAACCCTTGGTTAAAGAATTACGAAATATTTCATGAAAACGACTGTTTTTGTGACATTTTATTAAACGAGTTTTCACATAAAAGTTTATGGAGTATTTGAGAAAAATGTATCTTCTGCTGTATCATTGCAACGGTTCATATATCTACGGTAAAGTCAGGTAGTAACTTTTCCAACCATAAAACATTCTTGAGACTAGTTCTCTGGAGTAGTGGCACAGATTTGGAAGAATTCCAGGACATGAAAATTTAATCGAAAGCAGTAAATTTCTTCGAGAATTTTGAATTTTGACCAAGTCTCTTCTAAATTAATTACAATATTAGCTTCTAAATAATGGTAATTAAAACTTCGTGAGATGGTGAGAATATCTTATCTAAGGTCAGAAACGAAAAATACAATCAAGTTTAGTTAAATGAACCTTGATCTAAAATACGCAATTAAGCCAAGTCTTGACATAGAAATAGCGTCAATATTTTTATTTACTTTTCTGAAATTTATTAAATAAAAAGTTTTCACGACCATGGCAAAATTTCTTAGCAGTCAAAATTTAATGAAGTATTTCATATTAGTTTTAAAAGTATTTCGCTTAGTATTGACCTAACATTAAATTTCACTATTTTATTCTATTTATTTTCTTGGGTTGCATGTCTTAGTTATTAGTCATTTTATACGCGAGCACACATTTCTGCAATTGTTAGAAGAACAAAACAGAATGATGTTTAGGAAGAATTCGTCGTGTAGATATTTGGTGGGGTGGTAGACATGATGGAAACAACTATAAGTATTAATCATTCTATTCGATCCTTGCCGTGTTATGATCGCAATAAAAGTACAATTTTGTGTTATTACTTGAAAGCGTGGTTAATAAGTGGAGAGTAATTTAGTGTTGCAATCGGTAGTTATTACGGATTATTTGGTTTTTCTAATTTTTAAATTTCATGCACTTAGAATGTAGATATTTAAAAAAAAACTGAGTGACTTTGGGAGACATAAACGTAGACATTTCAGTTCTGGCTTAGGTAAGATTTTTGACTCATGAGTGTCTTATCTAAAATTGATAATTAGACTGTTATTTTAGTATTGTCCTACAATAGATAATATTTGTTTCTATAATTAGTTTCCTCTGAATTGACATCAAAAAGGACGATTAGGTGTTTCAAAGCTTTTTGGTCTGAGGCGTTTTAGAACAAACATTTTTATTGAACAAAACTGACCATTAAAGATTTGTGAGTAACATAAAGACATTAACAACTATAAAATAAGTAGGACCAGGCTATGTAGTGCTTTAAAAAAAATATCTTCCAATAACTAAAAAAATCACAATAAAACTTCACATCACAACTAAACAATAAAAACATTAAATTTAAACCCCACAACCCACGCAATTAGAACATCATAGCCCCATAATCCAAGCGTTTTAAATGTCATAAGCCCTGTATTTAAAAAACCTATAATTTCGCAATTCAACCGTTTTAAATCCCATAACCCACACTTACATAGTCCTGGTGACGATCGCCACCCAAACCTTCAGGACCAATCCTGTCATAAAAACCAACAATTTTAAGAAAACTATCAAAGGTTTAGTCACATTTGAATCGAATCCGATGGAAACAAACTCTTTGTTCAAAAAGACTTTTACACAATTATTTGTTTTTGTATTCAACATTATTATTGTTAGCTTAGAAATCAAATTATCCAGGTTTTTTGCATATAAACCCTGTGTGAACTAAAATCGAGCAGTTCATTTAAAATAATATTTAGAAAAAATTGCATTTTGCATTACTTTTACTTTTTACATTTAGTATTCGAATAGCGAATCTTCTGCCAGACATATTGCGTTTGTTGATAATCTTATTCAGAAATATCTCATTCTTAAAGATACTTATAGAATTTGTCTGGTTTCGTATAGTGGATATTCTATTTCAAAAACATCCTATCATCTTTCGCATCTATGAATTTGAATTCGATTCTTTACTAAATATTATAAGTAATCTAATTTTGAAGTTCCAAATTGATATCAGCACTTGCCAAATCACCACTTATCGTACCTTTAGCAAGGAACTACGATAAAGCAGCCCGCAAAACAATATCAAATTGATATACGCCAACTATGTAAAACTGAAAACTACAGGATATTGTGGTGTACTAATAAATGCGTACAATCTAAAATTCTCAGAAAACGATTAGAAAAACTTCACTTATTAGACGAACCCAAAGCTAAAGAAACTATGGATTCCATTTCTTTCTCTTATTACAGTATGTAAAAGATCAGAAACAAAATGGGGTTGTAAGTATTTTGATATAAAATGATTGATGTTGATTTTACATCAATAAAATTATTTGCAACCCTATTTTGGCTCTAATCTTTCACGGTAAACAAACTACTTTAAATTAAAAATAAAATTTAAAATACAAAAGGGAAATCCATTTTGTATTTAATGCTTTTAAAAAACCATTTTGCACATCTCTAATAATACATCCCTTGCATTTATGTATAACTAATATTTTGATTTATTTTCAGGTAAGTTTCCACAAATTTGCAAGCATTTGATAGAGAGATATACATCTGTGCGGATTTTGAAAAAAGGTATTAATATCATTTACTGTAGAATTATAATTTTGGTTCTTTGATGTAAACGTAAAAAGCAGTGAGTGTAAGAATGTGAAATGATAACGTTGCTTTGATGTTTTTCGCTTGAAAAGTAACGTATATTCTAGCACCCGTGAAAATTGAGAGATAATATTGTATATGAACTTCGGTGAACGGTGTCAACGTTAGTGTTTATGCAATGGTGTTTTCCATTACATTTACTTTTATTTTGCTCTTCGATATAAAACCGGGAAAATTTGTTTTCTATATTACGTTATCTTGGTAAAAAATGGGAAAACATAGAGAAGTTAAAATCGTCTATAAATGATAGCCTCATTTTTCATAATAATTGTTTAATGATGTATACTTATCGTACAATAATAGATCAGTTCTATCTGACACTATTACCATAGTCAACCCTTTTGGAGATGTTTAGGTAGTAATTTATTATTTAAGAAATGTTAATATGTACATATTTTTCTTGAATACGTTTACGTATTTGTACACGACATTTCTTACAGTATATGTACTTATCAACAATAATATTTGTCTACACTTACAATAAGTGATAAAACAAATTATAGAATAATTTTCGTCGTTGTGTAATAAGAAAGTTACCAATTATGAAATTGAAATTAAAAAATAGTTACATGTAATCACCGATTACATGTGGGACTAACTTCCTCCATAAATAAAAATATCACTCTAGGTTTGCACATACGTGTATATATAGCCAATAATTATTTTACTGGTTATAATAATTTTATGTTAATTTGTTAATTGAAAGTTGATGTAACAGATTAAAGCCCTTTTCGGTCATAAATGAATTGCAAAAATAGTTTTTGGGCTGCCATTACCGTTATTAGTTCAATGAAATTGATTTTCGTACACAATATTTACTTTTCAATCGTCAGCTTCGTTAGTGGATTATATTTTTAGATAATTAGTTAGTTAAAAAGGTCGTCAAGAAATTATTTACTTGCAGGTGCACATCATCTAATACCTAACTACAAATTTTAAAGTCAAAATAAAGTGATTCTTGTTGAAATATAGCACAGTATACTTTCATCTGTAAGTAGTGGACGTATTTTTTTGGTTTTAAGAGTTAATTTGAGTAGAATAACTTTCCATTTATTAGGGCGACTTGCAAATGCGAATTGTTTTAACATAAATCTTTAAACTGGTGTTCATTCGGACCATTAAGATAAGGAAGACAAAGTACCTTACAGTTGAGAAAGCATTTATTTCAACAGTACTTTCAACCCTTTCCCGCAAAATGTTAAGCAAGGCGACCAATAGCTCCAGGGTATTCGTGGACAATCATCGTAATTCTACAAACGATGAGATTACGTAAATTACCAGTTTTGTTTTGCCACATTTACCGGCAATTCTGTTGGACAGTCGCTTCCGTCGCCTTGGCAAGCCATGTTTTGTTCCAAAACTGGAGGAGATTCCTGACTGGCTGCACAACGTTTTGCGGCAATTCGATTTTTGTATCTTCTGCTTCTAGTTTTTGTCCCAGTGCCACACGTTTCGCTACAACTCGACCAATTTCCCCATTCGGTTAATTCACAAAGTGGGTCCACCGATGTTTCTTCTCTTAATGTGGACGAAAATGATTCCCTAAAGTAAACACAGATGGGCATTTTCCTGGTAATGTACTTGACAATTATTATACCTGCAATTTTCTTCCATTCCCCAACAAACTCGTCTCATAGTCAAATCCGCAGTACATTCTTCGGGATTGTTACTCAAAAGAGACCTTTGTTTATATTGGACACCTTTTCCACATGTAACTGAGCACGAGCTCCATTCTCCCCACGGTCCTAGTTCACAATTCGGCTTTGAGGATTCTACATTTTCGTCAAAATCGCAGTTCTTTTCGTACAATCGCTGCCTCGATAAGTAAATTCTTGCAAATGGTTTTATTGGTTCCCCAGATTCATCATAAAACGGGGATTCCCGGAAATTAGGGCTGTTGGACTTCAGCTGGCGAATAGGTAAAGGAGGATTGGACGGACTGTCGCGATCCTAAATGTTCAGGTCATTTATGTTGGTCAATCTGTATTGAGAAGTACGCACCATATATGTTACTCCATCATCAATACCAGCATCAACGGGATACAAATTTAGCACTTTAGATTCTATCCATGAACAATTTCTTAAACAAAGTTCCAAATTCGAGACACCAACAAACCAGTCGGGAGACGGGAATATCATTGACACCAACGAGATAAGATGATGTATGTTGTCCACTCGAAAAACAGCAAATGTTTTTCCAGTAATGTTTGGATAACTGATTCCTCTTGCTTTTATTATCGTCCGAATGTGTCTGCTCTGAAATTTAATTGTTATAAAATAATGGGGACGATTCAAATAAATTCATGTACTTAATTTACATTGTCTTTTAATTCTTTTTCGAGTTCGCGTGTGTTACCATTTTCCGCGAGTTGTCTTAATCCGTCATTTGCAAGCTCGCCGTAATTCCAAAAAGAATAATCCACACTGTGAGATGCACCTATCACGTCGCTGAATTTAGTACTCCATTTATCTTCCGGGAAATCTTTGGGGTGGGTGTTTCTTGACCATAAACCTTCAAACGTCACCTGCAGAGAATCAAAGCTTTGTTGGAACATATTTCTTGTTGAAACGAAGATAATTTATGTATCAGCAAGTCCAGAACAACAGCACATATTAAAAGTTACGATTGTAATTNTGTAAATATGTGCAGCTTATATTGGATTCGTTGAACTTCAACACAGATTATTTTCCAACAAGGGAACTTATTAAAATTGCACAATAACTTTTACTACGAAACAAGTTCCATCGCATTTGTTTCGATTCCGTAAACTTCGAATCGCCCATTCGAACGGATCGTGCAGAACTGAATGCGTTTCACGAACCTGACGTCTTTCCCGGCGTCTGTTATTAAAAATCCCGCGCATCTTTATCACTATGCGCTGATGATAAGCCATAATATCATACGTATCCTACAATATTATACAAAGCGTCTCTTCGAGTGATGAAATGAGAATTTTAAGATTCAATTTCCTTTCTTTTTTGTTGTTTGTTGGGACGTTATTCTTTGAATCCTTCCTTGGATAGAACTGATAATGTACTTACATACATAGTTCGCGGACAAAAAATTAAACTGTGAGTTAAATTATTTAAAGCTATTAATTATTATTTCCCTTACGTTTATTTACTTAACACTTGAATAACTCCCAAATATCGTTTAACCTATCAGCAGTCAAGTATACTTTTTCTGCGTTTCATCATACTGCAAGCAGGGAAGTTAGAAAATTTGAAGTCATTTTTATATTAACGATCGGTTAATTTAGAGATTCGAAAAAGATTTTTAAAGGTGTATGTCTAGAGAACGACGCTGTAAAAAGTTAGAAGCGTTCGAAATGTGGTGTTATAGTGTAGATATACTGTAGATAGAAAAGGATGTTAATAAAAAATAGGCGAGATAGGTTGGTAGGACACCGTCTCAGGCATGAAGAGCTACTTAGAGACATATTAGAGGTAGTAACAGGAGTTAAGAGAAAAACCTACATTAGGTTACTGTTCGCAATTAGTTAAGGAGGTGGGATGTTTTAGTTTTAGGGAAATCCGAAGATTAGCTGAGGATAAAAAAGAGTGGAGATGTATGTCCAACATGTGATGATGATAATGAATTATTTACAGCGAATTTTGGTGAAGGGTATAGCAACAAAACAAGAATTTTCTTAAGTTTGACGATTTAAAACTTAAAAATATTTATGTTTATTATAAATCTCACACATTATTATTGTATTGCGTTCGTTGATAATAATCTCTAGGCTGTACCTAGTATGTACATTGTACATGCATTCTGCAATATTATACGTGTATAGCTTTTCTTTGAGAAATAAAATGAAAAAATTTAAAATTCAATTTCCCTTGCATCTGACGGGGTGTTATTATTCCTTCGATTGTATCCTATCGAATCCGTAGATAGAAACGAAATTGATTTGGATGCTTCCTCCAAACGTCTCATTTTTGTTTTATTCCTTTGGGGGCGGATATTAGACAGAAACATTTTCTCGATGGAATCACTTTCTTTCCCTTAAATGAACTTCTAATTATATATATCTCAGTCAAGAGATTCATTTTTTCACATAATTGGTGTTAACGACTTTGTTAACTTCAATGAGTTTTACAAATAAAAAGGAAAATGTACGTAGGTACTTGAGTAGCATTGTGAATTTCGTTTATAGTGACTCCGCTTATAACAATTTGTTCATTATGTCACAACTGTAGGCTTCAGATTTTGTGGCTTTTAGGTATATGAAACCATTGTGTTTCAGTTATATCATTTTATTATCGTTTTCGTTTGATGTCATTACAACATTACGTTACTGTATTTAATTTGGGAGACCTCTATGTCACCATATATTATCGGTTATCACAAAATTAGAGAATCACGTAATAAATTTTAATTCACTTTCTGTTGAAGATTACTTCGAAAAAGTTTACAAACTACGTTTCATCATCGAGGGTGATCCGGTATAATTATTTAGATAAAGGTCTAATAACAGAAGAACCTGTTTACACTGATCTTCAATTTATTTGTTGGTGCAAAAGCAGAATCATTGCGGCCAAGTGAAATGAACTAAAGTACTTCGTAAATAGAAAAGAGAGAAATACAGCGTCGTTTCAGTGTAATATGGGACTCCTCAGGCACTTTTAATTTCCTGTTCTTCTCTAATAACAACACTGCTCTAGTTACGGGTCTCTCGAACGAATGTACATTCAGAAATAAGCAGTCGTAATTCACGTAGTCATTTCTAGAGGAAATTGAATGTATTCAATAAATAGTTCCATAAACTTTGGTGATAGTTAGTAATAGTACTGAGCAAATCATAAAACGGCGACGTCTACTTGATGAAAAATCATTATCGAACTCGAACAATACGTTACCTATTATTAGTAAACGTAGAGGTCTTATTTGCCAATTTTTTAGTAAGTCTTTAGAAATCCTATATTTTTTTCTTCCTGGAAGAGATATAAGACAGAGTATAGTACAGGGCCGAGTCGCCTTCAACAAAAAGAAGTCACTTCTATGCTATCAAACAGTTAATTTAGAAATTCGAAAGAGATTGTTAAAGCTGAAAGTCTCGAGCGCGAAGTTATACGGGTGCGAAACATGGTTGGTGGACTCGGCGGAAAAGAAAAGGTTAGAAGAAATGAGGAGGCATTAGAAAGAATAGGAGAGCAGGGGACTCTATGGAAGTCAATAAGAAATAGGAGAGATAGATTGGTAGGACATCTTCACAGGCAAGAGCTGGTTAGAGGCATATTCGAAGTAGAAACAGGAGTAGGGGGTAGCAGGTTTTGGGACTGACGATCTTATGATGGTTATGAAATTTAGTTTTACTAGTTGTGGAGGTGAAGACGAAGTTTAAATGTAAATACTTCAAGAGACATACAACCTAAAATTATCTAAAAGATATTTTCTTTAGGTTTTCCATAATTAGTCTAACATTCACATAAAACTTTGCGTGATACCTAAAGGATTTATTTTTTGGCATATATTAATTTCATTTGCTCTTTGAAACTTCCAACTTTAACACATTTTTTGTTAAACGCGATTCGTCCCTGTTCTATTCCTTGTTTTATATCTCTAGTGCTTTTTCAATTCTTCCTGAAAATGTCGAAAATCAACTACTTCTTCTAGTTTATTGTCTTCTATTTTTATATTAGCTATAACTATTTTTGTTTAATTTTTATTAAATTTCATACCCTACTTTACATTTCATTTAAAGCTAACTCTAACCCGTCCTTGCTATAAAAAAATTTAAAAAAAATATTTTTCATCATGAAAATAGATGTTAGCATTAAACGAAAATGTTAAATTTTTCACTACAAGGATCTGAAAATTCAATTCATTTCTACAATCGTGCGATTAAAGGGTAATCAAAAATACAATTAGAAAAACGTGAATTTATTTAATTTAATACAACAATCATACATCTATAATGAAAACATTACACGTTAATTGGATGTCATGTAATTCAGCACCCCGGCGACACGTGCGTTGATCATCCCAAATTATTTAACGACAACTTTAATTTGAATCGTAGGTTCGCCATTCTTAGAAGAATTTAACTTTGGTCCTGAAACAAAACGAATGCAACATATAATTAATTACTACACAATTTCTAATTTATTGGCAAACCTACTTTAAGAACCAATTACGAATCTGATGTCAGTTATATTAATTAAAAGATAATGAATATTTTTTTGGTATTTTTTATGAAAAAATTACTTAATCTATATGATTGATCGAATGCAAATGAATCAATGGAAAAAATATAATTAATGCGACTATCACAGTTGTTTTGATTCAAGACCCAATAGTTAAGGATAAAATAAATCAATTAAATTGTGCGACGTTCATTAGAGGCAAAAATGATTATAAGTTTGAGACCCAGGAGCAACTAAAATCAAAAATTCTTCCAAGAATAAAACATTTCATTTTAATTGCTACGGTTTAAATTGCAAATTCTTCTAAGAAAAAAGTTATCTTTTCATGTTGAATATTGATTTGGGTTTTTTCGATCCGCCTTCATTGATCGATACGTCATTGTCGAACGGTATACAGAAGAAGGACACCGACGGAGGTCCTTGTTGCCGATTACTGTCGTCAAGTTCTGCGTTATCATTATTTACCTCAATACGTTTAAAATTATTCGCGACCATGCTCTGAAGACTTTGCGACAACTTGTGCGAATGTTCGATAAAATCGTGTCGTGTAACGACGATAAACGGATCGATGAGGTCCGTTTGCGTATTTTTGTCCTCTTTCGTTATCGACGACGAGTATCGACTGTCACTCGATGCACCTGATGACGGTCTCGTCTTGGCTTTTCGATTGTTACGGTGTCTTGCCGTTAGCGTATCGATTGAAGATGATCGAGTACGAATCGAACCCGAACGCGAATTCGATACACTCCCAGGTCGATTGCTATTGTTAAAGGACGTCATCCTACCGAGGAACGTTTTGTTTAATATCAAGGGTACCTCCTGTTGTTGTTGTTGTTTGTTATTAGTATTAGTATCAGTATCGATTACTACCGATTCTAACGGCAACGATTCTTCTTCTACTTCATCGATGGGAATGATTTTTCTCGAATCTTCATCGCATCTGTCGTCTTCCCCGTCCTGCTCTTCAATTATTTCAATCGTCCTGATGATCATTTGTCGAAGTACGTCTTCTTCGATGTCTTCGATACTGTCTTGTTTTAATTGTTGACTGTCGACGTTTGTTAATATTGGCTCGTTAAGTCTGAAAATTGTTTCTTCGATTCTCGATGCTGATTTGCTCAATTTGCAGGCGATTCCATCGTCTTTTGTCGGCGAATTCGATCTGCTTTTTTTCTTCCTGTTGTTGTTCTGATCTTGTTTGAACGCATTGGGCAACGATCGTCTCCTGAACAAGTTTTGATTCGCTGTTATCGACGATTCCAGATCCACATCGAATCGAGGAGGTTCATTGTTTTCGTTTAATCGAAGACCCTTGATATACGGTAGATGCTGTTGAGCGGTTTCGACATTCGATGACAATATCGATATCGAACTGCCCCTTTGCGTGACCACAGAGTCGTTGGTACAACATTTTTCCATACGGTTCGCGTTTTGCGTCTTCGAAATGGATAACTCGTTGCTGCAAGTCGAATGGTAGTCTTCCAGTGCTTGATGGTTCACTGTAGCTGATATTTCCAATCTGTTGTTATTGTCGTTATCGGTAGACATGGATGGGAACGCGATTGCGCTGGTCTTGTCCAAAGAAGGGGTCGTCATCGAAGGGACAAAGGCCGAAAGCGAATGATCGTTACTATTGATTTTTCTTTCCGGTCCGAAAATGTTCAATTTTACCCGATAGTTTTTATTTTCATTGTTGGGGGTTGACGATGACGAAGAGCAGGTGGTGAGGAAGGGATTTTTCCCGTATTTATATTGCAATACTTCGCTGCAGTAACGCGCGTTTTTTGACGGAACGTACTTTGTCAGACCGGAAGTGCTTTTTCCTATTGCTTCCGGCGAATTGTTGTTGTCGCAAGTCTTCATGTTAATATTGTTAGCGAAAACGGTCGACGATCGAGGAGAAGGGCGATTATGACGAGCCTTTTTCATCGCAACGGCCGAAACGTTTTCGTTGTCGACATTATTGCTACTGTTTTTATTGCTAATAATAATAATAGGATTTTGTTGTTTCGTACGCGATGTTTTAGTTTTGGTCCCGATTTCATACCGTGCTTGTATTTCCGAGGACATCCGACTAACGTGCGCTTTGGTCGATTGGAGTTCTTTTTCCATGGCCCCTAACGTGTCTTGCAATTTGTAACGTTTCTCGTTTGTTGACGACAAAGTGTCTTTAAGATCTTTAATTTTCTTGTCTTGTCTGATTAACATCTTACTTTTTTGCTCCAGATGACCGTACAACTGCTGAATCTCCTCTTGCTTAACCGCCAGTTCCTCCTTTGTCTATAACCAATCAGAAATTGTTTACTATTATTGTTGTTGTTGTCATAAAAACAAAAACCGATAAAAGCACCTTTATTTGGCTTTCAATTGTTTTTCTTATTTAGATTTCAATTTATTTAATAGAGACATTTAGACTGACTATCTGGTTTGGGGTAGGGTACAGTAGTAATAATATAAGAAACGAGTCAGGGGTGATTTTGATATAGAATGAGAAAACGGCAGATAGGTGGAAATAATATGGAGTACAAGCGGAATTTCTAAAACATGCAGGACAAGAGGTTAGACATCGTATGTTTAAGCTAGTTAGTCACATTTACGAGTCCCAGAGGATTATAAACGGAACGTGGTAGAAACCATCCCTAAAAAGAGAGATGCGGAAAAGTGCCAGACATGTAGAACAATTAGCTTAACTTCCCGTGTGTCAAAAATAGTAGGGATAACAGCATATAAAGCAAAGGATAGCACAGGGTCGAGTCGCCTTCAATAAAAAGAAATCACTTGTAAAGGTGTATGTTTGGAGCGCGGTGCTGTACGGGTGCGAAACACGGACGGAGGGCGCTTCGGAAGAAAAAGGTTAAAAGCTTTCGAAATGTGGTGTTACAAGCGAATAATGAGGATACCGTGGATAGAGAAGGTTAGGAACGAAGAGGTATTAGGAAGAATAGGAGAACAGAGGACTCTATATGGAAGTCAATAAGAAATAGGCGAGATAGGTTGGTAGGGCACCTTCTCAGGCATGAAGGTCTAGTCAGAGACATATTAGAGGCAGAAACAGGAGTTAGGAGGGGTAGAGGTAGACCTAGATTAGATTACTGTTCGTAAATAGTTAAGGATGTGGGTTGTTCTAATTTTAGGGATATGTGAAGATTAGCTGAGGAAAGGAAAGAGTGGAGGTGCGTGTCCAACCAGTCTTAAGACTGACGACCTGATCATGGTGATCCGGTTTGAATCCGGTAACCGGCGAATCCGGCACATTTTTTTTTTTGATCCGGCCGGATATCAGATAATAAAGCCGGGCACCCGGTAGTGCCTGGTAATTCTACCGGAGGAAAAAAAAGAAACAAACACCAGCAATAACGATTCAATAAGTATAACAAATGTATAAAAGTTTTTACTCTGAAGGGTAACTGTAATCCTTGATATTTAGCCCCAGATTTTTTTATCCTACTTATAAAATGTTTTAAAAAGAAAACTTTTAATGACAGAGAAAACGATAATTAAATATTGCTGAAAATGGTAAACTAATTTGAACAAATACAGTAAAAAATTAGGTACCTCCATCAGGGCATCCCGTATTTCGTTGGCATACTTCGTAAGGCTTTCGTTTTCGACATAAAGCTCGTCCTTCTTAGCTTTCAGCATCCCGATAAGACCATCCCTCACTTTCAACAGGTTGTCCATTTCGTAAATTTGTTTTTGCTGCATCTCAAAGTCGTGATCGTACTTTATGATTTTCTGCTCGTAATCCAACGATTTTCGAAGCATTTCGTCCAGTTTGAGTCTATTCTCTCGAAGAACATAGTTTAGATCGCTATCTTTCATATCCTTTGTCGGATAATGTTCATCGTTTGAAAGTAAGGCCAAACGTTGTTCCATGTTCACGACGTTCGCGTTTAAATTTGCAATTTCCATTTTTCTGTTACGGAAATCGAACAGTGATGAAAAGAATCAAATCAAATCAATATTTTTTCTAATGGTAATGAATGAATAAATCGAAATTAACACCAAAACCAAAAGCGAGCGATTTAAAAAACTGAACTTGAGATCAGTATGCAATGCTATAGAATTCTGATCTCGTGTTCATTGACATTCATTCAATTATCAGTAAAACTATTTAAAGTATTAACTTATTTAGGCAAAAGAAGATTGTGAGTAATTCTGTGCTATATTTCTTACTGATTTCTGACCAGTTCCTCGTACTGTTCGATTTTCTTTTCGATTAGAGTTATTTCTTCTTCCTTGTGTACCAAAGATGCTGCGAGGGATTCCACATTATTTTCCGAATTGCTGCTAAGTTTTTCGATGGTGTCTATAAATCTAAGTTTTTCCCGAGCATAATTTTTCACTTTATCTTCGGCGGCTTTCAATGCTACTCGAGTTGCTAACAGTTCTGTGTATAATTCAGCTTCTCGTTCTGTTGTTATGGGACCTATTGAATGAAAATGTGCCAAAATATGTTCCCATTGATTATTTGTTTTCAAATGAATAAAATATGCATTAAGACAATGGTAATCTTTCCATAAAGGAAAAAACCTAATTCCAAAACTTACATTACTTTTAATTGCTTTTCGATTAGAAGCAATAAAAAACAAGATAATTACCTAGATTTATATATTTAGGGTTTTTTTTAGATTTCAAGAAACGGCGCTTCTATATTCTGAATTATATATTTCTCCTAGACTATTGAAGATTTTAGTGTTTTTTTTTCACTTGCATGTTTAGTAAAGTTAAGGGTTACCTTGGCATTTTGTTTAATGGAATAAATAATTCTTATTTGTTGATATATTTAAAGATGAACCTTTTTTTGACTAAAACATTTATATTGTGAAATTTAAGTTTTAGTGGAAAAATTGGTATCATTTCGTACAGAAAGCTTAAAAACTGAGTATACATTTTTGGTGGATGTGCCGGACATCATCATTTTTCTACTATTATACATTATACAGATAAATTGATTTAAATACTTAATGAGATAGTCCGAGATAATAGGATTATTAAATCGGGTTCATTTTTCTTAAAACTTGATTACGTATTCAAAATCTGCCTGAATTTCATTAAATGCGCGCTTTGATTGCGCGACTTCCGATATAGCAAACTCAGCACATCTATACACTGCTATCCAACTTTTAAAGTGTTTTAACGACGACATTAAGCGTCAAAGTGGCTGTAAAATGCACTAAAGGATCAAATTGGAATATTAACCAGTTTGTAATCGAATGAAACAAAAGAGGAAGATTAAAAGATAAAGAAAATGCAATTAACGCTTTTACAATAGGTAATTATTTAATTTACATTTGCACACATTACCTAAAGGTATTTGTTTTTCTTTTTTTTAATATGTACTTGTGTAACGATTTGTAATGTTTAGTTTTTAATACGCTACTATTAAATTACTATAAGTTTCTAAAAATAATGACATTGATTTTGGGTTAATAATTAATTTTTCTTGAGAGATAGGAGTTATTCTCATCATTTATTCTCATTAAACTGCTATTTATCTTCTTATAGGGGTCATCTATAAGGGACGTCCACCCTGGGGGAGAGGGGGTCATCGAATTGTGACCATGTCGGGCAAGGGGGGAGGGGGGTTGGGTCTTTTGTAAAGTTCTCGAATAATTGTGTATTAAAAATCAGCAAATACCTCAATATTAAATTATAAAAATATCCTGAGCTAAACTTCGCATTTCCCTAAAACTAGAACAACCCACATCCTTAACTATTTGCGAAGAGTAATCTAATCTAGGTCTACCTCTACCCCTCCTAACTCCTGTTTCTGCCTCTAATATGTCTCTGACTAGACCTTCATGCCTAAGAAGGTGTCCTACCAACCTATCTCGCCTATTTTTTATTGACTTCCACAGAGTCCTCTGTTCTCCTATTCTTTCTAATACCTCTTCATTTCTAACCTTTTCTACCCACGATATCCTCATCATCCGCCTATAACACCACATTTCGAACGCTTCTAACCTTTTCTTTTCCGCCGCTCCCACTGTCCATGTTTCGCACCCGTACAACGCCGTGCTCCAAACATACACCTTTAACAACCTTTTTCGAATTTCTAAATTAACCGTTCGCGAGCATAGAAGTGACTTCTTTTTATTAAAGGCGACACGACCCTGCGCTATCCTCTGCTTTATATCCCTACTACTCCTTCCATCCTCACTTATCTGACTTCCTAGGTATCTAAAATCAGCCACTTCTTCTAATTTTTCGTCTCCTATCTTTATATTCGCTCTTTCCCTACTTTTTCTTCCCTTGCATATGAGTATTTTAGTTTTACTTTTATTTATTTTCATACAGTACTGATCTGTCAGTACCGCTTCCATTTTATTTAAAGCTATCTCTAGGTCCTCCTATAATAATAAATTTTAAATATTCTACGCGTAAATGTATAAAGTTCCACGTCATTTATTTATTATAAAAAAAATAACGTAGACGAGTGGCGCTGCGAGATGTACGTATTGATGATTTTTTTTTAATTAAGGGGGTACAATTTGTGACATCTTCATAAAGGGGAGGTTGTCCAAATGTGACTGTATAACCTCAGGGGAGGAGGAAATGTCGAAGAACAGTGGACGACCGTTTATTTTTTAATTGAAGATTGCCCTTTTTTTAACGTTTCGTCTTAATCTCCTTATTGTTCTCACTTTATATTAAAGTTAAAGTGATAAAAAACAAATGAAAACAAAAAAGATATTGATTACCTTCTCCATTCCCCTCCTTTTTGGTGACGACCAAGTCGATGGCCTGTTGATTGGTGACCTCCATTTTGAAAAATTCCTGCCTCATGTACTCGTACTTCTTCTCCATCGTCTCTCTTGCGATCTTCTCCTCTTCGAGTTGTTGTTTCGCCCTTCGAACTTCTTCCCTGCACTTCTCTTCCGTTTCTTTCGCAGACTTCTCGTTCTCGTCGACAATTTCTGCCAAAGTCTTCACCCTAAACATATACATAGTTATCACGTCAATTCCATGTTAAACACCAAAAACTGGATCGAGCTCACCTTGCGGATCCGTCGTTTGGTGTTTAATTGCGGAATCTATTGGTGAAAGTGTAATAATGAAAACAATAACAACAATCAGTTTTGTAAAACGTAAACATACACCGATAATTTATTTTCTAAAACCAGTTTTTAAATTCGGACAAATCGAAGTAGAATTGGAACAGGTCGGAAATTCTATATATATATTCATGGGTGTATAAAGTATTAGGTACTAAGTTCAAATTGAACGCTTGGTATAAAGAGATCGTGCAGAGCTCTGAGGGTTATATGCATTAACCACCTTGTTTCTAGAAATCCTCGGTCTTTGGTCAGTTTGTTCAGCAGTTGCTTGTCCTGGTTGTTAATTTTAATTAATTCTTGTTTCTCAGCTTCCCACGCTTTCTCTGCAGTCTTCATGTTATCCTCCTTTTGTCTGTAAAATTTATAACATTCATTGAAACTTCTCGTAATTAACCCTAGACAGTCGAAATATGGAGACACCTCTTCTACTACACGCGAATTAAGAACCGAACTTTTGGGCTGTAGCCCAGGGCTTCGTCCATACGATAGGCCCCCAGCAATATTGAAAACAATAGATGATATTTTGAAGAAACGAAAATATCTAAAATTAAAAAAAATACCAACCTTGCGATCAATCAACCTATCGAGCAGTTCGGGGAATTCCCCGCCGCTTGTTTTCGAACGGTGTATTTTCCCGCGGGTGTGTCTATTACGGGGAATTTCCCGCTATCTATCGCTCGACGCAATTTTATGCTTTTTTTAGATTTCAAGAAACGGCTCTTCTATATTCTGAATTATTTATTTCTCCTAAATTATTTATGATTTTGATGGTTTTTTTCACCTGCATGTTTGGCAAAGTTAAGGTTTACTTTGGCATTTTATTTCAAGGAGTTGTTGATATATTTAAAGATGAACCTTTTTTACTTAAATACCTATATTGTGAAATTTAAGTTTTAATTGTTACAATTTCGTATGGAAAGCTCAAAAACTGAGTTTTGGCGGAGGTGCCGGACATTGTCATTTTTATACTATTATACATTATACAGATAAATTGATTTAAATATTTAATGAGATAGTCTGAGATAATGGGATTATTAAATCGGGTTCGTTTTTCTTAAAACTTGATTAGCTTTGAATGCGAGATTTCTAATATAGCAAATTCAGCACATCTATACACTGCTATCCAACTTTCAAAGTGTTTTAACGAAGATATTAAGCATCAAAGTGACTGTAATATGCACTAAACGATTAAATTAGAATATTAACCAGTTTATAATCGAATGAAACAAAAGAGGAAAATTAAAGGATAAATAAAATGCAATTAAAGCTTTTACTGAAGAGATTTTTGGGCGGGTGTGTCTATTCCTATCTCCTTGCGAATTTTGTTTTTTTTACACACTTCTGTTTTCGTCATACTGATAAATTGACTGAGTTATTGTTAGAACTGTGTCAAAATATTTTATTGTCTGATACTGCATACCTAGATCATTATAGGCAGCAGTTTTTCTGACAAAATAACAATTAGGTAGGTTCCTAAGTAGTATTAGCCCACGGTCCCACAAATTCACGATTCGCCCCTAATACTCTCATTCATCTTTTCATATAAGTAATACACTAATTTAAGTTTAATAAATGCAATTTAATAGCTTTTCAGTTCAAAAGATTCTGGTTAGCATTGATAATATAAAAAAATGTGAAAAAGAGAACATTTAGTAGGTTTCACAAAATTGTCATTTATTCTGACGAATTCGCTTTGATTTTCAGACCATTGTCAAAGGAGTATAAGTTAACACTAAATTGAACGAACATAATCGGGGTTTAAATACGTTTTGACGTAGTTGTCTATTATAGGGTGGATAAAGGGTAATTATTAATCGCCAAGCAATGCTCCTCTATTGCTTTATATATATCTGGGGTTTCTACGAAGTTTATTTTTTTACCTTTGTTAGAAACAAAATTTTCCGTAATCTCTTTTTTAAAATGAGTTTTGTAACTCTAAAAATAACAACGAAAAGCAGATAAGAAAATTAAACTTTTTCAAGATAACAATCTTATGTGTCAGACTCGTTAATTAATTTTTTAAAGATTTAATTTAACTCACTTTAATGTTTTCTGCAGATTGATAATTTTAGTTTCAGCCTCGTGCCTCTTTGTGTCCAATTCCTTCACCCGCGTCCTTAAAAGTTTCAGTTGCTTTTCAGCTTCAGAACCCAAAGCAGAATTTTTTCTTTCGATAATCAACTGGGCATCTAATTCCTATCATCACATTCAATTAATTTCATTTTACTTGTCAACAAATATATTAACGAAATCGATAGGAAACGTTTTATCTAAAGACAGCTTAATTTTTTTTCATATCAACCAATTAATATATACTTAATCTTATACCTTTATATCCTGCGATTAGGTGAATATAATTATAGATCTAATTATAAAATTCTAATTATGAAAATCTTTTACTGGACAAAAACAAATGTAAAAGTGATCTTTCTGTTATGTTATTATGAGGACAAGAAGTCTAAAGTTTACGATTACAGTAAAAGCTCTTTATTCGCAGGGTATACGTTCCATAAATATGCCCCGAATGCAGAAACCGCGGATATGGAATGATAATTAGTATGGAATCATAGGAGATACGTTATAAGGTTCCAAAATAAAACTAATATGTATCAAAACAAGATCAATGTATTGATAAATTCGCAATTAAAATTAATCGTTATAATCAGCTTTAGGCAAGAGTTTAAAAAATTTAATGATTTTTTCTTATTTTGAATTTTGAAATTAGCCCACTCGGTTACATCTTTTATAAAAGTCGCTTCGGCACGAACTAATAGTACTCAAAAGATGCTGATATGTTGAAAAATAACACCGAATCCTTTTCTGTTCAAAAGATGCCGATACATTAAGGGGATTCAGTGGTACACACGCCATAGCTAATCGGTTCTAGATATCATGAGTTTAATATTTAAAACAGAGGTTTGAAATTTTGTAGTAAGATAGATACAGCTTTGTTCTAAAGCTTGTCGAAGGGCATTTCTTAATTTTTTAATTTCTATTGAAAATACGTGTCCTACAAGAAACATCAACTTTAAGCACTTTTAATGACCATATTATTGGAAACCAAAAATGTACCGAGTTAGTATGAACCTTTGTCTGTTACCATACAAAAAATTAGATATTTATCTCGTATCGTTAAATTACAATGTTTATAATAGAAACCCATGTTTTCGGAAAAGTTCACACTAGGCATGAGCGGTCTATTGCGGTCAATGCCCTTAATAAATGACACCGAATCCTTTTCTGTTTACCGATTGCAACCGCGAATAATGAAAACGCGAATAACGAAACCGTGAATAAGGAACTTTTACTGTATTAGAAAGACAGGAAGATGATCCCTAAGTAGTTGCCATAAATTCACACATTATGTATAATTGTAGTAAACATGGGTTTAAAGTTTTAGTAAAAGAAAATTTTCGCTTACCTTTAGTTGAGAGTTCAACTGTCGAATATTTTCTTCCGCCTTGTGCAAATCCGCTTTTTCTGGTCTATCGTTGAGGGCATTCTGAAGATCTTCCACTTTTTGTTTATATTCCTTAATTTCGTGGTCTTGTTTCTTAAATTTCTTGTACAATTCATGGAACCTTTCGGGTGGTGGACCGGCAGGAGGAGGTGGAGGTTGAATAATGACTTCGTGACTTTCCAACATTTGCTGCCATTTAGTCACCAGTTCTTCGATCTGTTTACTTTGCTCTGTATTCGCGTTTTCGATCTTCTGTTCTAACTGGCTGCTTTCCGTCTTTAGAAAATTGATTTTTTTATGAAGTTCCGCAGAGTCCACTTCGTTGTTACAATATTTATCGATCATGTCGACCAAAAGTACCCTCTTGGTCATCAGACTCTTACACATATCGGTTAATGGTTTTGGTATAACGTTGACGATTTCCTTCATGGCTTTCAAGAGGTCCTTTTCGAAATCTGTCGGTGCTTCTTCGCGTTTACCTGCTGAAAGAGGCGTTCTCGCCCTGGGAATTACTTCGTTGCAATCTATGAACTTCATCTCTTCTAAATGAACGGTTTTTCCTGATTCTTCCAGTTTCTTTTTAAGTTGGGTAAGATTTTGATAAACTTCAAGAACGGGTTTCTGTTTATCGATCAGTTCCTTTTTCAAGCATTCAAGTCTTTTCTTTTTAAGGGAAAATTGTAGCTCGAGACTTCTTCTGTTTGGAGAATTGGAATTTTTCAGATCGGAAGATGGAGATCTTTGGAGTTTCGATTTGGATGGTGGACGGGTTGATGATTTAGACGAAACTTTACTTAACGTGTTTTGTCGCTTAGGCAATGGAATTCCTTAAATGATAACAGGTTTCTTAATCTTTGATAACTGAATCATGATCTCAGAAGCAATAGGTTTATTTATGTACCTGAAGAACTATTCTTCGATCCTGTGGTATTTTTACCATGCTTCTTGTCAATGTCCGATTCCTTAGCTGAAGTTTTGGATGCTGATCTGGATCGTCTGTTCTTATCATCTATTGTTACAAACCAGGCATTGCCTATGTTTTGAGGAGTTGATTCTCTAGATTTTGGAATACCTAATAAAGGAGTTTTTGGTACCAAAAGCTGAAAGAATGGTACCGTTTTTTGAACATTATCGGGTGTATAAATTATTATCATTTCTATTTATTAATACCTCTTCTCCGCAACTTTTAGGTCTGCTATTTTCTTTTGTCTTTATTAAATCCTGTGAAAAATTATTTTATTACTTTAAATTGTTTCCTATTTTTTAATAATCTGCTAGACTAATCCTTTTAAATGGACGTGCTTTTTAATGTTTTAAGTACATGTTAAATTTATTTACTTATACTTTTATTACCGGATTACTATGAGTTTCACTAGAAGGCCTTTCAACTGTGTTACCCCTTTTCAATTTTGCAGAAGTGAAACTTGCTGATTTGTCAGTTGACGGCGATCCTGGCCCTTAAAAATGCATATTAATTTAGTTAATTTCTAATTTTTTTAAACTTCCGCTCTTTTGCAACTGATCTTAGGCAGCCAACATTACAAAGTTCTCACAAAATAAGTCCACAAAGTTTTCGCGCTCTCGTTTAATAAATATTTGACTGGCTTAAATAAATTAAATTACGTCAAATTACTTACCGGAATTTTTATCAGGCACATTTTCGATGTTATTTATTACAGGACTTGACATTTTCTTTTTATTACTATTTGATTTAGGTAAAGCCAATAAACGTGACGCTACACACACACAGAATAAAATTTACAGTATTTTTGAAATAAAAGCCGAGAGGGAGAAGTGTATGATCGGCAAAAATCCCCTTTCAAACAGTTGTACTTGGAAATAACACAAATTGTTTCTTTTTGACTATTTGATTTTCAATTGATTAGTTTCATAGACAAATTGATTATAGCTATCGCGACGTGTAATACGACAAAAATTAAAATTATTTAAAAAATAAATTCTTTGAGAGGACTTTTAAGCTTTTATTTTACTTCAATATTTAATACAAATGTAAAAATTGATTTATTTAACTACTAGAAGTTTCCCAGTCTCAATAATTTTGTTCAATACATTTCTGTATTTTTAGTCAAGTTGATAGTACCAATATGAACTTTTTTGATGTTTTTGAGTTTTGTATACAAATAGAACTTTTTGCCAGAAATTTTCACGAAAATTCATGTATTCTTATGCATTTCAATCACGCATGTGTAAACCATACAGCCAATCGTTCCGCACTTTTGATTTGAGATATGTAGGAAATATATACTAGTTAGCAATAAATTAATAAAGACTTATTAAAACAAATGGATCATTTTATAAACAGTTTATTTCTTATTCTTATTAAAAGAGTGGCTTATTTTTTATCATTAACACTTCACCTTGTTTACAATTTGTAATGCTACCTTTTTATAGACTTATAAAAGATTTTTTTTCATTTCCAAGAAGGAACTGATTTAAACATTAACATCATTTTATATACTGTCTTTTCCCCAATATTATATAATAAAAAAATGTGCATTGTGTATATATATTTATATTTTATAAGCAGTCAATCACTTGCACTTCCACTATCTGAGTAATCTCCAACTAAAGACAAGCCACTACAAGTTTTTACTGAATTTATTACAGTTGTTGTAACCTGTGTAGAACTTGAAGAACTGCCTTCAGTGATTGCAGGTTTTGTTTCTTTACCAACATTTTCATTCTTCTTTGTAACTTTTACCAAATTCTTTAGTTTTCCTTTCCCAGATAGGCTTCCAATGCTTTTATTCCAGGTATTTGTGCTTTTTTGCTTAACTAAAACTTCTTTGATGTTTTCTGGTGTTGAAATCACTTCTTCAGCAGTGTCATCTACCTTGCTATGTTTTGTACTTGAAGGAGTTTCATCTTCTTCTTCAACAACCTCTTCTTCTACAATTAATTTACGTTTCTGAGTAGAATTGAATTTTACAGATCTAGAAATAGAAACATTAGTAAAAACAGTAGTATGTATTTTTTGATGACTTTACTTTATATATTCTTCATCTAATTGCTTTAATTTCTCTTCCCTTTCCCTTGCTGACAGCCCTGAATCATATTGAAGTAACATTGTATCATAATCAACAGCCTGTTGTCTTCTATTTAAATCTTTTAGTTCCTCTAATGATTCCAACAAATCGATTTCATTCTTAGATTGCTTTGTCCTGTTTTCTAATAACTTCATAGGATTATTTTGTTCTTCCTCCTTTTCTTCCTCTTCTTCTCTTAAAGCTTGTTCTTCTGCTAACTTTAATGCCATAAAATTTCTTGTAGCTCCTGCTTCTATTTCATAGTCTGTGTTTCTGGGATCAGTTTTAAAGGAAATTTCTTGTAAACACCTCGTACACTAATGAAAAAGAAAATCAAAATAACTTAACTGGTACATTGCAAGTGTAATACAATAGTCACATCAAACATACTTTGATGTAAAATCTGTAAATTCTTATTCCTAGGTAATCTTCATTTTCAACATCTTCCTTTCTAGCATTAAATTTCTTGCCCTTGTATATATATTCCCCACATGTTGCACATCTCATATTAAAGGGGGCCATTAATCTCACTGTATATTGCCTGTTTTTGGGCAATTTCATACGGGGTATTTTTGAGGGGTCAAAATCAGGCGGATAGTATTTCTGAAAATTAATAAACATAAATGGTATCTCTACTTCGAATTAATATATAATAAGAAACGTACGTTTAAAACTTTTCTTTCAGACATTTTGGTTAATTATGGGATTTGTTGTTAAAATTAAATAACTTTTTCAAAAACAACACTCTACAATTATTTGAGGTTAAATCTCTCTGACGGCTTTTCAAGGTTGGTACAAACGAACTACCTATGGAATTGGAACTAAAGAGGGCGTCGTTATAATGTTATGAATTAAAAATTATGAATGAAGTTTACGTTTTCATTCATGTTCTTCTTGTCTAGGAATCATTGACTGATAACCTGAGTTTATTGACCCCCTAGTAGTGATTTAAATATAATGAAGGGAAGAGTAAATTCTGTTTTGAATGATGTAAATCTGTTATATTGAAATAATAGTGTTTTGAACATTCATAAATACAATAATTTGTTGGTTTTTCATTTTTTTAATATTAAATTTTTAATTAAATTCGTATAGGACAAAATTTTGTTTAAATAAGGTTCTACATTAGTTGCTATTTTCATGTACATACTTATACAAACACAAATATTTTTTTGAATCACATTAAGTGGTCCGTTTCGAACGCTTTACGATGTTTAATTAGATACTGTAAAAATATCCTAGATAAGGATTATGACTTATTCATAACTGACTTAATATGATGTTCACGAACTTATATGTAACGCATTTCAGCTTATTAGAGATTCTCATCATTTACAATTTCTTGTAGCCGAGGCTTCATCGAATGAAAATTGTGATATGAAAAGGAAACCATGTTTTATATCAGACTAATTAAAAAGTTTGAAACGGCTTCTCGTAAATCAACTTCTAATTAAGTGTAAACTATAATTTTGTTAATAATTATCCTGTTTTTACTTATTTTTGTTGTGTTTTGACTTGATCCAGTTTCCAAGGACGTTTGATAAAACGTTAGTTGACCCCTAGGTTTGATTAATTCATAAAGACACATCATTTTTGCGTTAAAACTGGTATCAAAATAACAAACAATTAATTTGACTGTTCCCTAGACAATCCCTCTTAGGAATATAAAAAAAACACACAAACTAAGCGCATTATTTAAAAATAAAATGTTATGGTATTGTGTGGTAATGGATTTACATATGAATGATATGATGTGTAATTCTTCCTGTAAATTTTTACGAAAGATAATAGCGTGATATTGCGATTTTATAATTTTTCTCAAATTTTCTACTTATCGTTAGCTGTTCTATTGCAGTCTAGAACTTCTCGTATGGTTTTATGAGCGCAAATTGCAGTTCATGTTTATAAATTCCTCATGCATTCTTTCGCGTGGGTTTCAGAAGAAAAACTGCGTATTTACGACTACATCAAACACTACTACCTTCACAAAACTTTAATCGATTTTGTTACTCTGACACTGCTTACGTGCATAAGCATTATAAAATTAAGCATCTTCTCGTCTTCTTTTTCCTTTCCACTTCGACCTTAACACCTTCTTCAGATGAAAAGAACTTATCCGGCCATAAAATCAATCTATAGCTTAAGGTAGATGAAGACTGATACATAGTCATATATTAGTAGAGCCTGTCTATCATTTAACAGTACCACGATGTATTGTAACGTAAATTGTCTTTAAGGTTTCATTTTTATATAAAGATAAAGGAATTTATCTGTTCTAGTAGCTTTTTTTAAACAGTTTTTCCAAAAGTACTTCAAAATTCGTATCACTCCAAATTATTTCCTTACACTCCAGTTTTTAAACTCTTCCTGTTTCGTGACTTTGAAATAATTAATACTCGTGTTACTTATTTTTATGCTGAAAAGGTTACCATAAAATTTGGCCCTCAATTTCTATTTAAAATTTTGAAATGACTTCATCTTATGTGACACAATTCGAGGTCATGGTTATAAGCAGTTGATGGTCTACGTTTAGAATCCTTTGCTTCGTCTATTCGCGAATCTATGAGAACTTTCCTGTAGTTTGAAAGATCAAATCCAATCAAAAACACGGTCAACACACAGGAAAAAGGGAAAAAAGAGAAGTACAATTTGTAGGCATGGGTTATCGCGTCGAGACTACGTATATATACATAATATTTGCGACTTTAAAGTAATTAATATTTTTTTTAGATATTTTGATGTGAAGTGAAAAGGATGCGATAAATTTGACCCTCAATTTCTGTTTAAAATTCGGAAGTGACTTCATCTTATGTGACATATTTCGAGGTCATGGTCAGAAGCAGTTGATGACCAACATTTGGATTCTTTTGTCTCTTTCGTCCCCGAGAACTTTTGAAAAGTCTGAAAGGTCAAATCCAAATAAAAACATGATCAAACACAGGAATAGGGGAAGAAAAAGGAGCAAGTACAATTTCATTATTGAAGGTACGATGGAGAGTCATGGGTCATCGTGTCGGGACTATGTAGGTATATATGTATGCATATAACTCGCCAAACGAGAAGTATGTATATGTATGTTGTCTACAGATCCAAGACGTATGTATAAGCGACATTGCTTATATTGCGTCTGATCGTAAGTCCACAACAGACTGCCATGGCAGACTCGTATACACAATCGGCCGACCAACAACCAAGCACACTTGCATAGCATACGAAAACGTTGTTCAGACTTCGCTGGAAGGCGCAGACCTGCGAAGTATAAAGGCTTTCGTCCGTTATTAAAAGCTTATAGTTGGTTCCGCCAGAGATAAACAACCAGGATGCGCTTTTACTAAAAGTCCTAGGCACACACGCGCTCCCCTAAACTTCATTATTTGTTTTCCTTCTCTAGGATCTTGTCGTTACTAATGCTCTTGAATGGATGGAAGAATGAGAGGCGAGAGGGTTAAATGAGTAGGTTTACAATTAAAACAGAAAGAGGTAAAGTTTGAGAAGAAATCTGTGATTATATTAAAGGGTGGATGCAAGGGTGGAAGAGAAAGCAAGTCTAGTTAGGATTGGAAATTCAGAATGAGAATGCTTGAAGTAGAGGGATAAGAATGGACGAAATAGAGATTGATGTAATAATTATAATTTTAAGAGTATTGTGTAAGAAATTGTTTACCTTTGTGTAAGCAGGGCCGGTGGAAGGGCATGGTTGTAGGTACGGATGTTACACCACTATGACCTACACCTACATGGAATAGAAAACATAAATGTTTGTTTCTCAAGTTCTTTATGTTTTTTGCATAATGGCACTTTCAATACTAACGAATTATATCCCTATCTAATGTAAATATACAAGTAAAACAACATGTCTTCATAGCAAATAAAACTGGGGAAGTACCAAATACATATATCGGGGATGTACATCAATAGCCTAACAATAATAACGTATAACGGCGAAATATCAATTTATTAAGACATTGAGAAAACATTAATTTTTCTTAATGGTAGTTTGTTCAGATATGCTGGTGGCAATACAAGCCGGATTTGACATTATCGTGTTTCTACTGTATAAGTATAAAATAATTTTAATAGTTTATCGGTTTGTTATGGTCTTATTCCCAGAAAAATTTTCGTTGAATGTTATTAATCAGGCTTCGTTAGAAGTATGTTCTTTTTAAAGAACGATTTTTTGACTTTTTCTTATTTTTATAACATTATGCATAGACATCATTTTGATCAATAATTAGCAAGAAGTTTTCATTTGTTTATTATACCAAAATGGCCTTATTAATAAAACACAAACTGACTTTTATTTTATGTAATATATAAACTAAAAAAAAACTGGTATCCAATTTACAATCTATTTACAAACTTTTAAACTTTAAGCAGTCATCGTTTCTTTGGAATTGCAAATTAGCAAATGTAGTCATAAACATAAATTGTCGTTAAACAGGAATTTGAAAATACTGTAAAAGTTGAAATCATCTAATGATGTCTCATTAGTTATTGCCAAAAAACTGTGCAGCAGTAAATTATTTAAATTGTGCAGTGCTGGAAAAACGACGAGTAAAAAAATGGGTTTATTTTGGAGTTGTCTTTTTTGACGGATGCTGTGTACCTAATATAAGAGTTTAAAGGTCCGTAAAAACGGTTAAAATACTTACATGGTAATATAAATACGCATCCTGGCTTCAGTGTTCCCGCCTTCTTCGCATTCTACAAGTATCCATCGTGGGAAACGGCGCTCCCACCCCACACATTCTCTAGACGATATGACAATCAGCTGTAGTCCAGATTTCACCAATCATGTTGATAAATACATTTTATTAGGAGCTATAAATACTCTAATCGAGTAAACGGATCAGATTTGACTGTTTCTTCTTTTTTTTTATCAAAACGGTAATGTTTTATGGGGTTTTCCGAAAAAATACGGAACGTATAAAACAGACTCGCGATGCCGTTCTTGATGCGGAATTCTTGCACTTTGGGTAGGAAAATCATTGGAACTAGACCCGACATTTATGATTGATTAAAGCGCATATTCGTACATACTTTGTATTGAAATACAAGATTTGTTTTCTGTAAAAATAAAACAACTACTTGTAGGGAACCTAAAGCGCAAAATTCCACAAAAAAGTTTCAAAACCTAAGACGAAGCCCAAGGTACCATTTTCAGTGAGAGATTGTCGCTGTTTTCCACAAAACTCCACTTGGCTTTCTTGTATTAATTGTAGAAGTTTCAGAAATATACTGAGAAACATATTTAGTACCTATTTAAGTATACAATTTCTGTAGAAAAATTGCAGATAAAAATTAAATAAAGTTTATAATCAACCCTTTCCATAGATATGCTTCATAACTCTAAAATTGAACGATGTTTTTTTCCATGATATTCTTCCAATGTTGTATACCTAGCGTAAACCTGGAGAGTAGAGAGAGACTCTCTTCTTTCCTTTTAAGAATCGAGGGAGTAAGTGGGTGTTTAGGGAGAAAAAAATGGGTTGGACGAAATGAAGACAGAAAAGAAGTCAAAGATTACCTTTGGAATATGAACTGTACCTGCATTTGCCTAAAAAACACAAAACTGACCAGAATTATATAGTTTTTTCCGGAGCGGTGGTCAAATCATTAAACAACTTTATGTTTTTTGTGCCGTTTCGGTTTATTCAACCATCTTCAGACAGAAAAAGTTTTTGTTCTTTTACTTATAGTTCTATTAAGTTCTAGTTCTACTAGTTTGACCAGAAAGTTACGATTTAGTACGTATGGGCGAATGAGGGTCCTTATACGCTTTCTGTTTCCTATTTCGGGATAAGAAAACCCCAGGAGTAAAAAACGACTATGTATGGAATATAAAAGATTTTATAATGTATCTGTGAATTTTATG